CAAGTCTTTAGAGTTGATTGTGAGTGGAGAAGAATTATATATTTGAGATTATACATAAATACGAGTACGCTTTTTGTGCGTATTCAGCTATTATTTATACGATTACTGGAAATGATCCGGTTTATTCCAGTTTCAAAATGTATGCTTCAGTTTTATAAATGGCTTTATAGACATGATCTATACGTGATTCATACACAGTTTACAAACAATCATGTGCTCTATGTCGATTGTCGTTTTGTATTTTTTCTCCAAATTATACCATACCAATACTTGTGCAGCACAATTTTTAAAAATAACTTGTCCATTTTTGACAGACAAACATATGTCTGCTGTTTAGCTGAAGAATTAACTTTAACTATCAATTTTGAGAATGTCATTCAAATAATCAATTAATTACCGTTTAACTTCATCAAGATAACTTCGATAAACATGCTAACTTCAACAGGATATATACATGTCGTGAGTATTGTGGAACAGCATATATATACACACAATACTCACACATTTAAAATTATTCGCTAAAACGTCATATGAACAAGATTGAAACAGTGGAGAAAAAAATAGATAAAAACTATGTTTAAATAATTAAAAGAGTAGTAGCGTGGTAAATCAAAATCGAGCATAAGACTTTTCCCCCTTGTGCTATAACAATGTGTTTGTGCATTTTAGTAAAGCAATATAGCGATGGGAGTAAGTCACGCTAGAGATTTATTTGTCTATTAAAAACTTGAAATTTTATAAAATGATTAGAAATCATTTAGTAGTTACGTAATTACCATATGTTTTCAAAACAGACATTAGTTTGTCATCCGTATTTCCACTGAAGCGTAAAAACATGTTTCTTCAACAAGAAAAATGAAAGAAAAAAAATATTTTTGAAACAAGACGATGTAAGTATTATACGTCCAGGTGCAACTAACTTCTGCAGCTACTAAAATTACTCTCAACGAGGACACATCTTCATTTCTAACTGCATAAAATCAACTCCATGCAATCGCATGCAGCTGAACAAAAATGGCAAGGTGATAAAAGTAGTGTATTTTCTTTTGAGCTAAACACAAAAGATTTTTATTATCACTCTTTAGAATCATTGTGTGGCTGTTTTGATAATGGTAGCATTTGTGTGTTTGGTTGGTGTTTTTATCATGTCTATACGGACTAAACGCAGAAAAAATTGATAGATCATCTTGTTTCAAAGAATGTTGTTGTTATTATGTATTAATGCACTGTACATTGTGTTGTTTAATACACAAGGGAAAAAGAGACTCATTAAGATTAAAATACGATCTTGAAGAAAAACCATGCGCAGATTGGTTAACAACTTGGTGCTGTTCGCCTTGTGCTGTTTGTCAAGAAGCAAGAGAAATAAAATTTAGGGGTAAATTGTAACAGATAAAAGCTACTTTTCATAGAAAAGAATATGCAGCCGATGGCAATTGCTTTGTCCGTTCGACTTAGTCTGAAAACATTGCTATGTCTTTAGGAATAAACTGATATGTTTTCTAAGCCCTCAGATGTTGTCATACAATAAACTTTAAGATCTATGTTAGTCCATTTGAGTTGAGTTAATGAGGCAAGTATGTAGAGATGTTGCTATAAGATTTTGTCCATCAGTGCTGCTATTTCGGCACATAATAGACACATTTATGTTGAAAGAGCTAACTGCTATTAGCTATAAAATTGCATTTTTTAAAGCGTGCACGGCATCCCTCTTTTGAGTTTTTACATCATGTTTATTCGTTTCATGAGTTCATGTTTTTATGAGACCGATGCGATAGCCTGAAATTTTATTTTATAATGCATTCTCTCTCTATCTATGCATGGATTCCCATAATTATTATATATCTATAATAACATGAGCTCTAACAGACGGTGATGAAAAAAAACGTCAGCTATCATTTCATACAGTGAGGTCCATAGTACAACCATGAATTCACAGAATCAACTTAATATACCAATATTACACCATCATAATTTCACATTTCCACAGTATCATATCATCACTTTCATAGTTTCTTCATCTAAGAAGAAATAGTCCAATGTTGCCTTGTTGCTCACTCTCAAGCTACCCTATGAAAGTGATACTACGAAGTTCTTAGTATGATACGGTGGAACTATGAAACTGATGCGATGATACTGTTAAAATGTGAAACTATACAGGTGTAGTATTGGTATTATAAGTCGATACTATGAATTCGTTGTTATACTATAGACCTTCACTGTGAGGGTGAGGGTGGTGAGGGGCTTTTACAGCTGTGAAAAAAACGTGAAATCGTATGTAATTCACATCTAGCTGCACAATGATAGCATCACCAGATTGAACCGACTGTCAGGAACATCTATGTTATGATCATCATCAACAAAATTTCACAAGATCCATCGTCGTATGCGGTGTCATTCCCAAAAAAATTCAAGATCATAAAATTACACTAAAGCAGCTCACCATGAGAAACTTGTCTTTCTACTCTAGAGTAGAAAACCTTCTAGTAGATACCAGAAGGTGAAACGTTTCATTCTATTGCTGTAGACAGTGCAAAAAACATATTGTGGTGCTCAGTATATAGGGTGGCCCAAAAAGAACTTAGACCCTGTGTATTTACTCTATTCGACTAAATCCATGGTAAAGTGTTTAATTATATTTGTACACAAGAAAGCTAAGAAATACAGAGGGAGTAAGCTTTTTTTGGGTCACTAAATAATAATGGCTAAATAGTACCCTAGTGAATGTACTCAAGTCGTACTCTGCTGAAAAAAATGCCCCAAGTACTCATGAGTACTCACACATTCTTTTACTCACTGAGTACTCACATGAGTACTCATGAGTGAGTAACGGGTATTGTGGGTAAGGCTTTGAGTACTCACGCTTGGGTATTGTTGAGTACTCATTTAACTTTTGGCAAAATACTCCTGGGTATTGTTCATCTGATATTTTCATATAGAGGAGTGATCTCAGACAGCCAGAGTAGGACTACAAGTCTAGTCACAGACAAGTCCATCCCTGACTACATACAGAGAGGCCAGTGAGAAAATAATAATATAAATATTCTATGTTTCTTCACATTCTACGTTCTTTATACAGTTTCAGTCTAGCAAAGTAAAACGGTGAACGAATATTTTCTGAGTACTCACTGAGTAACAATACTCAAAAATTATTAGTAGTACTAATATGAGTACTCGTGGACGAATTATGAGTAAAGTCGTACTCATCGTATGGGTACTTTCACACAGTGGACATTCATGTGGAAATTTAGAAAAAAACAGTGAGCTTTCTTTTTCGTAATTTAAATAGTGTTTCATATACTTCGAGTGACGGCCGATTTAATGGCAAAAGAATTTTTATTCTACGACTTTTCCATCTATAAAAGATTTGAAATGCAAAAGCACCATGTAAATGCGTTATTTTTTCGGAAAATTTCGATTTTATTGAAGGATAGTAAATTAGAATAAAACCGAGATCATATTCGGGAAGAACACAGTCAGACGAATACGAAATAAAAAAGAATTTTGTTTTTTGAGTGAAACTTAAGAGTTTTGGAATGGATTCTTTCGAAAACGGTGTAGGCTGTAAAGGCTCTCTCCGGTATTTTGAGAACGCGCAGCTTAGCGTAGGTCTGAACTAACGTATTTTTATACCAAAATGTTCCTGGCGAGGCCGTGCATCCATGGTGAATGCGCAAAAGTGAGCATATTTTCCTGGACGGAGGTATTGGTTTTCCAAAAACCCAGGTTTCTGGGGTAAAAATCAATGTTTTCACTTCAAATACAGTTTTTTCCGAACAATATATACATATTCGGAATCAGCGTGTAAAACGGCATCGAATGATGTATAGTTTGTTAGTTTTACAAATAAAACATTTTTTGACAAAAATTCGGGGAATTCGGGGGCAAGTCCCCTGAGGAACTTGTTGTCGAAAAAACTTTTTTTTTCGAATTCGATCTGTTTTACTTCTACTAATATCTGACACATAGTAAGACCATATTATGCTAAAACAATCATTTTCTAACTCAAAAAATCAGATGTCTGCCTGCTCTATGGGAAAATGCCCACTGTGTTTCATTAGAGGAATGACTCACAGAGCGTTGAAAGTTTAGATTTAATATGTCGTTCTTTTGAAATTATATCTTTTCATATTTTAGAATCCATCGAAAACACACCGATCATAACTGAACAACCAATGACAACGTTGAAAACTTATTATCCGTGATTATATAACACATATTACACCAAAATATATAATGTTTACATACGTTTTTATGTGCATGGGACATATTGCTGTTTCTTTTGAACTGAGAGAGCGATATCCACTTTTCTCAAAGAACTGTCGATAGAAAAGAGATAGGTACCTTCGAGTCTTGCCATATTAATAGTCAAGACTTAAGCGCATCTTTCGGTATAAAACGTAATGAGAAATATTTGCTTAAATAACTAGAGCAGACACTACAGATAGATATATTGTTCTTTTTTTATAAATGACTCCAAAATGAAACTTCAGAAAGATCATGAATGTTAACGATTCAAGTGTGTCACTAGGTTTCATAGGAATCCTCTATTTTGGCTGCTTTAGTGTCATAAGTTTTAAAAAGTACAGTAAAGTCAAATAAAACATTTTGGATCTTGAAGGGATTTTCGAAAAACTTCATAGTCTCTTTTTCACACTTTGAACCATACTATTGTGTAAAGCAGCTAAAATACAGTACATTGTAAAATTCTGAAATCTATGAAATTATTTTAGAGTAAACTAAGAATTTTTCATTTTTTCTTAACATAGTGATCATCTATGTTTTCATGTATCTGCGAGACTATCACACGGAAAAATAATCAGTCCCAGGACGCAGCTGAACGGCTGAAAAATCATGATCTTACTGAAGTTCCATTATAAAGATAAAAGTTGCGATGAGAGTATAAAAGAAGAATGATGAAAAACTGATACCCAACAACGGTTGCGCCAAACGAAGACCAAAATCTTAAAATCATTTTTACCTTTTTTCGTTTGTGAATAATGTCTACTTCAGTATTTTTGTATTTATGTTTCACAATTTTTCTCGTGAATATTGTTCAACGTGATTGTAACACAGGCACGAATGTTGGACTTCGTGGATGTAAGCGGATAAGAAGTGATTCAAGTTCGAATGAAGAAGCAGGACTAAATCCTGATATCGCTGAGACATGTGGTGAATGTGGAAAATCATTTGAAGATTTACCTCTTCTTCATGAGCATATTCGATCTTATCATCCGGAAATTCAGTCGGTGATTGAGAGTGAAAAAGAGGAGGACGATTTTGCATGGCACAATGAGCTGTCTGGAAGTAGTGAGAGTGAAGAAGAAGATAATGATGAGCCTGCTCATCCACTTTATGACCCAAGAAATGAAAATCAATGTCGAAAATGTGGCCGAAGTAAGAGCCGCATAAGTAACAGTCTCCAAACTGTGTGTCGATTGCTTGAATGTGCTTTTTAGTATATATGACTAAATACCATTTGGCGAAACATATGAAACAAAAACACCGGCATTTGTGGACGCCTTGTCCGATCGATGATTGTTACAGTAACTTTCGACACGCCGACAGTATACATCGTCATATGCGACATAGACATCCCGCCCATCTTGACCCGCAAACAGGCTTGTATCCTGGCGGCTATCAACGAACACGGGATAAGAAACAACGACAGATGACAGATTTTAGATGTTCCGAATGTCATTCATATTTTCCAACTGCAAGAACATTACACGACCATGGGTACAATTTACACACATTTATCTATAAATGCCCTGATGTCAGTTGTATTCGACATACTGAACCGTTCACGACAAAACAGAATTGTGAAGGTCACTTGAAAACAAAACATCCAAACTTACAATTACAGTGTATAAAAGAAATCACATTATTTGGTATCATCCATTCTCCAGAAGCCTTTGCAAAAATGAGAGACAGTAAAAGTCAAGCATAATGTTTTCCTGTATGTTTTTTAGTTATATATGTCTTTGACGTATTATCAAGACTGAATATATTATATTCTTGATCACTCACAGAAATACTATATGATTCATTTAATTGATTTGAACTACTTCTTTCTGTTATTCCGTTGATAGTACTTCTATTCACTTATTGCACAAACGATACGTATCGTTTACGATTGTGACTTGGTAACAATGACACGTATATTAGAGACAAAGTGTTTGTTATAAACTCAGTGAGCTTTGATCCAGATGAAAGTATCTTGACACGAACCAATGTCCAGTCGACTTTACAAGATCTCGAAGGACTTTAGCTAATTTTATACGAATATCAAATCAAGATCGATGTTTTTTAGTTTTTAACACTAACATCGACGTTTAATTTCATAATACATAAAGCGATTTCTCAGTAGCGATACCTCATAGACTTTGAATTTTTTCAAATTACGTTTTGATGTAGTCTAAAATTTAATAACTTCAAAATAAAATGATATATTGTTTGATTTATTAATTTAATATTTTTTCCACTGAATCACGATGATGTCAGATGCTGTTTCTCATTGGATCAACAAAACAGATGGATGTTAATGTGGATATCAAATCATGTTTATTTTCATGTTATTAAATGCAGAAAGAAGTTTTTGATTTTGAGATAACTAGACTAGGTGTGTAAGTTACACAGTAATTACCGAAACTCTATGCGATCAAATGATACGAACCTGACGTTTACTTTTAGTGTGTTTATAACACACTTTCTATTTTGCAGTATACCCATGTAAAATATATAACTCAAGAAACTCTCGAATAACAATTCAACACTTTGAAATTTGTTTTTTTTTCAACTGTCGAAACCGAGTTAAATGTCGAATTCTTTATATAAATTTGTGGGCCATGTCTTCCTTTGAGGTATCATAGTTACACTCATCTAGTTCGCCGTTACTGAACCTTCTTATTCCTAAGTAATATCTCAGAGAAGGAAAAGTCAGCTGGGACCTATTAGTATAGGCAACCTCCAAGTTTCTAGGAACATCATCGAATAAATCTATCTAATATCACTACTTTTGGTGAGGTACATTTTTATATTTTTTTTAACAATGAATTGTTTCGATTGAAGACAAGCAGAACAACAATCAGGTTATTCCACTTCCATGAGTTTTTGGCCTTTTAACGAACAGTGATATATCAGCACATAAAACTGCCTAACTATCTGCTAAAAGTTCTTTTTCCGTTTCAGCTTTTTGATGAAGAAAATCTTGGTATGCAACAGAAATAGCGGAAAAATCTGTTTTTAAAAGCTTTACTTTCTCTGCTGTTGGCTTCTCCAGCTGGTCAAACCGCGAACCTTTTGCTGCTTCATCACCTTCAAAAATTTGTATTTATTTTTTTGTTTATTCTAGGAAATAGATTTTTCATTTTATTGAATAAAATTTCTCTTGTACTATCTGTTTCTCTTGTAACTGAATTCTCTTGTACTGCTGTCTTATCAAAGCGATTCTGTGGGTGAGAATAGTATAAAATATTTTCTTACTTCAGAAGATTTCTAGAAAACCTTTTAAAACACCTAAGTATTTTATAGAGAATACTGTTTATAGGAGAGATATTCGTTTTTAGAAGAATTTTTAGGTGTTCTTTTCCTGGATTCGATCTTCCGACCTTTCATACGCTGTACTTCTCCAAACAAATACCCCGTTCTAACCGTTCGGGAGAAGTTATACATCATTTGGCGCTTTATAACTAGCAACGCTAGTTAAGTACCCGTCGTGCACTACGTGTCGACGTTAAAAATAAGATCGACATTTATGTATAGTATAGCTAGTAACATGTGAGTAATCACTTGTAAAGACTATTTAAATATATACATAAATGTACGACCTTCATACGAATGTATCATCATAACTCGTAGTTTTCTTTTGCACAATTTAATGCAATAGGAAAATGCGTAGTTGGAGAAGTACAGCGTATGAAAGGTCGAAAGATAGAATCTAGAGGAAGAACACCTAAAAATTGTTCTAAAAACTAAGTATTTTATGTTAGTTTTGAAAAGTTCTACTGAACTCCGTCATATGTTGCAGATAAAATAGAATATATCTTGGTATTCTGACATAAGTATAGATCAATCCTGATTGAGTTATGAATTTTCTAATTTTACGTGAAAATAGGCAGAAATGGGTTATTTCATCTAGTATAAGGTTTCACCAGGTTTCTAAACTTTTTTCGAAAAAAACACATCGCCATGAGAATCAACTTAACTGCGGGTTAACTGCCTACAGCTACCAAACGAAAAAAGACAGAAGTCTCGGACTAGTTTAGTTTTGCAGAACAGATGCCATTCTATCTAGGTATAAATTTAGAACAAAAGTTTTATTTAGGATCCTGTCCACGGCACTGCCGATATTTTGTCGGAGAAGGTACGCCACTTGAAACTGATGGTTTTTAGATCAGTTTTTAGTCGTTCGATAGCTCCATGAATTTACTTCAAAATGTGAAAACCAGCCCCTCTGGCTCATTCCGATCAAACGTTAGTCAAAAAACACCGCAGTCCACTTTGTTTTGAAACAGATAAGAGTAGTTTGCTCAAGTTGCCACTCATGGAGTTACACAATGAGTCAGCACAATGAGCTGTCTGGAAGTAGTGAGAGTGAAGAAGAAGATAATGATGAGCCTGCTCATCCACTTTATGACCCAAGAAATGAAAATCAATGTCGAAAATGTGGTCGAAGTAAGAGCCGCATAAGTAACAGTCTCCAAACTGTGTGTCGACTGCTTGAATGTGCTTTTTAGTAAATATGGCTAAAAGCCACTTGAACAGATATATGACTTGCGTGACAACTTGAGTTTGTTCCTCAGTTTTTTTGTTTTGCACATCTTTCAATCTATTTTGTCCTTTAAGTATGTTCAATCACTTCAACTGTTGCTTGAATAGTTAACTTCTCTTTAAGATTGATATCCTTTTCTCGATAAACTTTCGCATTAATTGTTACACGTCTAAATCTTGTTGGTGGATTGGATAAGTGTTGACTCTTCAGTAGCGATTGTGCTGCAGCCATTTCCTTCAAATGAACGAACCACTATATTAGTGAAACGGTCCTAACGTTGAAATTCCTTATTGTTAAATAAAGTAAGAAGTATTAAGACGCGTTAAGGGCAAAAGAAATAAGTAGATAAGGAACTTTGACAATTCAGAATGAGTAGATTGCATAGATATGCGAAGTAAAATGTTGATTAAGACTAACATGTATCGATAGGCAGGGCAAACGCAAACTAGAATAATTGTTCGTGAGAATTCGATCGCAAAAACTTTAATTAGATTTTTCGACAGAATATTATATCAGAATGACTCACCTGTAAAATACTTCGAGAAATATTTGACTTGGTTAAATTTACATGCGTCTCTGATTGACACTTTCTCTGACTTGGCTAAAATTACAAGCAGTTCCATTATATTCAAAATTCAAAAGTAATTTAATTGTCATTTACATGGTCATTATATAAATGTTGAAGAAAATTAACTTTTCTTATTGATAAAGTAAAACTTGGCTGTCGAACTGCTTTCAAATCTTTGATTGTAGTTTTCTGTGGGGTATAGCATATAAAAGAAAATATGCTCGCATTAGAAAAAGCTGTACGAGCGCTATTTTAAAAGAGTTCATACCATCGATTTAGACTAATATACAGTTTGATAAAATTGCTAAAAGTTCATTAGATGGTCTTTCTGGTGGTAAAAAAATGTCGATTACCCTTCTCATGACGAAGTAAGGTGCACGCAATTAAAAGAAGTAGCACTGTTTTTTTCTCAAACATTTATAAATGGTTGGATAGAGCTCACCAAGCTGAACTAGAATATATGTATCTTGATCTTTGAGAGTGTTTCTGTAAAGAGAAATTTTCGAATGACTGGTTTTAATGCTGATTCTAAATATGACAGTGGTTTTGGTCTGCTTATGTTTGTCACTAAAACATTTTTTGAAGTACTTCTCCTAGATTCGATCTGCCAACCTTTCATACGTTGCACTTCTCCAACTACGTATTTTCCCATTGCACGGCCTTCATACGAATGTATAATCATAACTCGTAGTTTCCTTTTACACAATTTAGTGAAAAAATACATAGTTGAAGAAGTGCAATTATCGGTTAATTGGACGGTTAACCTCACAATTAATTGGATGGTTAATTGCGGTTTTTTATCAGTTTGATCAATATGGGCATGATGTAGAAGGTATTGTGCTGTTGTCACGAGTATTAATATCTCTGCATAGCGATGCTAATCAGCACTAATTAATACTTATTAATTATAATCTAGTACTATAAAAGGTAATTTCAAAGTATTTTTTATGAAACTACAACCATAGATCATTGGCTCTCAAGCTACGCAAGAGCGACACTTCTACGATTATTTTTGATCGAACTGCAAGCTTTCCAAAAGGCGGACTAGCGGCTTGAGTGACGTTCATTAAAAAGACTTCCATTAAAACGTGTTTTTTTAACGAAAGTCTCAGTACTTTCATTAAAATGTCTCCTGCAAAATGACTGTGACCTAAAGCTCTTGGTGGCACAAGAATTTCATGACTTCCTCTCATGAAAGTTTTCTTAATGAAAAACTTTTAATGAAACTCCGATATTCCGACAAGTAATTCTAGCAATTCAAGTTTTAATTCAAAGTTAATTAATGAATAACACTGTCAATACTTGACCAAATTTTGTTTTATTCTATAGGCATACCATTGAAGGTGCCCTTTGCAAACCAGTTAAGTTTGAGGGTATGCTCAGAGGCAGGACATCCCGCTTAAATACTTTCCCTTGTATTGTGCATAATGGTTTGCTTAAAACAAGATGATTCGACATGAAACCATTTTAAGGGCCCTCCTCCCTCAGAAATGATGATTTTCGGTCAAAAAATCGGTTTTGCTTTTTCGGTCAGCTCGGTTTCATCGGTCAGCTTTTTCGGGTTTGGCAGGTTGTTGGTTGCCTAGAAAACCAATAAAGGCGTAATTGA